TCCAGCGTAAAAAAAATTATCTAATCAAAAACACTTTAGGTCTGAAAAAATGGGGGGGGCTAAAAAAAAAAAAGAAAGATTAAAGGAATGAAATCAAAATTGGTGGCCAAACTGGGAGCTACACTTATAACATGGATAAGAATTTTACAGCAAATATTCATTCATTAGTTATCTAGACTGCGTATTTTGTTTTATCCACCATCATGCTCCAAGTTGAACAAAAAAAAAAAAAACCGCAACCTGGCTAACTAATGAATGAATATTTGCTGTAAAATTCTTATCCATGTTATAAGTGTAGTTACAGTTTGACCACCAATTTTGATTTCATTCCTTTAAGTTGCATGCACAATAGTTTTTTAGCTGCACCTTCTTTTCATACCTAAGGTGTTTTTGATTAGATATCATGACTTCGTAAATACACACCAACAAACCAAGGCAAGTACAAAAGTGAAACTCGATAGTAACCAATACTAGTTTTAGGATCGCAACCTTATTATTCGGAATGGACCTATACCAACCAGGTTCTTTAAAATATATGGTGGTAATTTTTCCTTTCTAAAACAGTGTTAATAACTTCCTTTATAGTAACGACATGGAAGCTACATTAACAGTTTCTTGTCATCCACCGCATGCACTCAGTACAGCCGTATTAAGCATCATTATTTACATTAATTGCTTAAGCTAATATCATGTGAGGCTAAACGCTTTTTAATTAGGATAATTTTATAAATTTTAGTAAATTTGTGCTTAAAACTTGGCAATGAATAATAACCGCCCAACCGTATGATTCTTTTGAAAACTTGAGCTGGAAACTGCTAATGTAGTTTGCTTGGCCTAACCAATACTTATGTATCTGCACGTCCTTTCACCTTATAGTTTTCCTGCTCTAAATCAGCGTCTTTAATCCGAATGGCAAAAAAATTCAAAACAGTCCACTTTTACTCTTAGATGTAAAAATTTTTAAGCGACAGCTCACACAACTTTTTGCGTAGGAGTACGCAAACATTTTGGTCAAAACCGAGCAGTTTTTGTTGAATAACTTTGCGCATGTGGCTTATATTTATATCAAATTTGACACCTAATTGTGGATTTTAAAGATCTATCAGTGTTCGAAATTTGAGGAAAATCCATAACAGTGAAGTATGTTTTTCTGTCAAATAAAGTTTCCGTACTTTCTCTGCGAATAAAGAAAAACAAAAAAGAA